ATTTCAGAGCTTGAAATAATTTTAACATCTGTAGTGTAGCAGAATGGCACAATTCAATTTGCTAGACTGACTTGAATCTGGTTGAAGACTTAACTTTTCAATTAAAAATCCTGCCATTGATTCAACTTGCAAACCTCTTCTCAGCTCTGGGTATAACTTTATCCAATTCACATCTTGAAGACATTTACATTTCTAATTAGGAAGTGAGTGCCACTTGGAAGCAACCTAATCAAATGTCAAAGAAGACGTTTAATAGTTGTACCTGCTAAAATATACAGCTAGGTCATTTAAAAAAAAACCAGCCTGGCCAATACAGCGAAACCCCGTCTCTACCAAAAATATAAAAACTAGCCGGGCGCGGTGGCTTGCACCTGTAATCCCAACTACTTGGGAGGCTGAAGCAGGAAAATCACTTGAACCCAGGAGACAAAGGTTGCAGTGAGCTAGGACGGTGCCACTGCACTCTAGCGTGGGCAACAGAGCCAGAAAAAAAAAAAAAAAAAAGAATACATTCTAGGACACCCTTACAGGTGAATTAAATCCACATTTCTAGAGAATCCAAGAAGTCTCAAAAACTCTTAAATCAGATTTTGAGCAAAAACTACAGGGTAGCCCTGTAATTTAGATAATACATGCCAAGGATTCTGACAACACACTGAAATACACAAGAGAATTAATGCACTGCGATTTTCACAGAAAGGATTAAATGGAAATGAATGCACAATGACACGAGAAAAGGAACTGTCACTTTCAAATGCTTTAACTATAATCAGCTGTTATAGAATAGGTGAAAGAATATAGGAGGTATAAATAAAATAGCTTATCATGGTATTTCCCATGGGAAGTTTGATTGTAAGAGATCTATTCTGTGAACCATGATGTTGTTAAAGACTTGGAATTTGCATCGAGGCTAAATATATTCACATCCCAGCTCTGCCATGGGCTAGCTAGGTAACTTAACCTTTTTGGACCTCTTTTTCCTTGTCTAGAAAGCATAAATAATAATAGACCAACTCAGGGGTGTTATGTGAAGTAAAAGAGTTAATGTAGGTATAGCATTTAGAATGATGCCTGGGACACAGTAAATACTCAATAAACATTCTCCTTCCTCCTCTTCTTCCTCCTCTTCTGTTTTACACATAAACAAGAGATAGATAAACTATTTGATTATAATTACATATTATTCTAAACTTAATATTACAAACATATAACTAGCAATATTTCAGTTGGGGATAAAATGATGTCTTTACATAAGATCTTCTTATGATTTTTTAAATTTAATTTTTGGTGTTTTTTTAGACAGGGTCTTGCTATGTTACCCAGTTTGGCCTTGAACTCCTGGGTTTAAGCAATCCTCCTGCCTCAGCCTCTGGAGTAACTGGCATTACAGGCCTATGCCACCACACCTGGCTCTGCATTGGATCATCTGCGTTTTTAGAAGAAGCCATTTCAATGGTCAATCAAAGCTTTATCTTACTAAAGAGACCTAAATTTATTAGCTATCATTCTCTTTGTTTCAATTTTTTCATGTTCCTTTTTCCAAATTATTTAGAGAGCTTAGACTTTCCACTCAACTTTGAAGACTAATACAACTTTTCCAATCAAATAACTATTCTGAAATTCAAGAGCTTCCAACTGGACCTAATTTAAATGTAGTCAGGAAACTCACTGCACAAATGAAGATTCATCAAGAGTGACTTAGCAGATTGTAACTCAGTCTGGGTCCTCTCAGTGAGAAACCCTGTTGCGTGACTTAGGTGTCCAGCTGCTCAGAAGTATTTTATGCTTTCATATCAAAGATGAAAGAAAAATCTCCTGGAAACTGAATGTAAAATCATGTCAGCAGTGGATTTCGCTAAGAAAATCCACCACTTTAACCCATGGAAATGACCCAGAAACACTCAGAGAGAATGTAATGCAATAACTAAATAAGACAATGTAGGGTAAGTCAGTCATTTGCTTCTAGCTACTTATTAGCTACTTAGAAAAATGTCATCCTTTTTCCAGAAAAGTAAAAACACCTAAATAAAAATGCTTTTAAGAACAGCCAATTAGTCACCAAAAAAGTAACTATGTGAGATGACAGACCTGTCAATCTGCTTTATTATTGTAACCGTGATATTTTCTATATGTAGTCCCATAAATTCATGTTGTAAACATCAAATATACACAATAAAATTTATTTTAAAAAACAGCTGTCCAATTGAACCGTAAATCAAGAAATCAAATGTGCTAAAATTCTTTGCAACAATGCAGAGAAATTTAAAAAATTCATTAGCTTGCATATTTTAAAAAATCGACCTCAGTAAAAGTTAGAAAATATTAAGTTAGGCATACTTATTCATTATTACCTCAATCTTGCAGAAATGTTTACTAAACTGGAGTAAAAGGACAATTCTGAATTGTTTTCAACATGCTTAATTAACTCAGGAAGTTAGATTTACACTGGCAATCCTTCCTGCAGCTCCACATTCCACAAAATAAAAAACAACAGCACACTAACTTAGTAAGGATGCTGTAAAAAGCAATGCGTGACTTCCACTTAAGTACTCTTTAGAGGAAACATTTATCTTAATAGTTGTCAGGTTGGTCTGTTCTAATTGCACTTGAATGTTTTTAGGAAAAGTGCTTTATTAGCAACCATAGACATAAAAAGAATTTGAAGTCTTATTGCAATATTTTGGAATTCTCATGAATGCCTGCTGCATATCAATTATGTCAATATCTGAGAATCCAATGGTTGACTCTCTAGTACACCAAAAATCCTACAGTTAGGTTATAGGATTTGCTTAACAATTTCTTAGCATCATAAGGCATGAATTTAAGAAAATCTTCAAAGTTTTATGATTCTTTGATGGCTCAAACAAAACTAAATATTTTCATTGGGTTAATTGGTAATATTCTAGAAAACTCTTTATCAAAGTATGTTCCAAAAAGCATTAAGTCTATGACAAGCTACTCATAAAAAAGTATTGGACGGGTGCAGTTGCTCATGCCTGTAATCCCAGCACTTTGGGAGGCTGAGGCAGGCAGATCACCTGAGGTCAGGAGTTTGAGACCAGCCTGGCCAACATGGTGAAACCCGTTTCTACTAAAAATACAAAAATTAGCTGGGCATGGTGGTGGGTGCCTGTAATCCCAGCTACTCAGGAGACTGAGGCAGGAGGATCGCTTAAACCCCGGAGGTGGAGGTTGCAGTGAGTTGAGATTGTGCCACTGCATTCAAGCCTGGGTAACAAAGAGTGAAACTCTGTCTCAAAAAAAAAAAAAAAAAAAAAAAAAAAAAGTTAAGAGCAGTGGAGAAATGCCAGTATTCTTTATAATCATCTTTATAACCATCTTGAAGATTATTCAGGATGCATGTACTCTGAAAGCAGAGATTTGTCTAAGCCTTGTTCACTCCTGTAGCCCCAAGTCAGCAACAATGCTTGGCAATGAGCAAGCACTGAGCAGAAATCAATGAATGAATGAATGATCAGTTCTCCAGCAAGAAAATATCTTTTTTTTTCACCCTGAGTCTCTCATATCTATTTGATCATAAGAATCCTTTGTTTTTTGCTGTTAGCAGCATAGAATATTTTAGGTAAACAAAATAAAGAGGCAAAGGAAGGAAGAAGAGAGAAAGCAGAGAGAAAAATCTAACAAATGTCCAAATAATGACAACCCATATTAACATTTAAAGTAAAAGTGAAGTCTCCTGGGGACTCCTCCCCAGTTCCATCCACTTCATACCCCATCTCTTCCCTCAGAATGACGTAACCCCAACGCTAGGGCTTATGTCCGCATGCTACTAACATCCTCCTCTGGGAAATTCTGAATTGAAGGATTGCTAAAGTCCCTTTAAGCCCTAAGATTTTAATTTATTTCTAGCTAATATATATTTTGCAGATGGTCATTTGTAAATCTATCCACTTACTAAATTAATACAATGATGAATAAGAAATGAATGAAATAAAACACTAAAAAACAGATGCAAGACAAAGAGAAATTGATATAATAATGGTATTTATGAACAGGCTAACTAACTGGTCTCTTGTTCAGACAGATTGATATAAACCCTAAAGACATACATAGATATACACCATGTCCTGAAAAGGCATAGAAGTATTAGCTACTTAACCTAAACTGAGGGATTTAGAAACTATTCTCTACTATTATAGAGAAAAACAAGCCTAACAATGTATATATTGGATTTTGACTTACTCAAGAAATCGCCTAGGGCTTTAAAGACAAACCATGCCTAGATCAATGTCAAAACATGCTCCCATTTACATAACATATGCTGCCAAGAAGGAGACATCCTTTCCGTGAGCTAAATAAACAATTACTAATGAAGATCTCTTCTATTAAGATCCAGCATACATGGGCCAACATAGTTTAAAAGGAACAAGTTCTATTTCTAAAAACGTAATCAATGTCACTCACTATATTGTCTCAATAAAACTATTTTTCCCTAAAATTTTCGAGTACCTTTATAGGTATTTCTAAATTGTCTTGGAAAACCTTTAAGTATGTTGCCAACAAGATATTCTTTCAAGTATGTAATTTTTGTTCTTTGCTTTGAAGAACAGATAAAAAGACCTACGCAATGTATTTTCATACTTAGGGCTCTGTTTCTTAATTTTATGCATAGAAGGTGCTGACCAAGCAGACAATTTAGTGAAACGCAATTGAACGCAATACATGTAGTTGTGTAGATAACTACACACAACTATAATACAACAAGGAGTAGAACAGCAAAGAATACCAAGATGTGTGGTTGAATATTCCACCTTATCAGTGGTAATTGGTGTCACATAGTTTTATAGACAAATACAAGGATGAGGATTTCATTTCACTTTGAAGCCAACCCACTGACTTCTTCACATGTTAAATGCCAACAGAGAATAAAACACAACCTCACCTTTTATTTAGAAGCCCATATGGTCTTTCTCATACCAAAATAAATGAAATGAATTCATATCTAAAAATGTTTATGAAAGAAAAGTGTCCATTCCTACCTCCATTGTCTTTTAGATGTAGTGCTATCTTGGTATCATCTGGAAGAGAAATTCAAAGTTATTATAACAGAAGACGACTGATTTCAAAGAAACACAAATCTCATGACTAGTGATTGTCTACCAACTGCCTTGATTGAAACATGACTAGATTTTTGACAATTTATTGAGGTGATTTCTAGAACAATGACAGCAAGTCCTTGCTTTACATTAGATAGATCTAAACTTCCCTAAAGAGATTGTAAAGTCAAGATTTTGGTGACATCTTGAATGATTCTTAAGATCTACAAGAGAAGTAAACACTTATAATTAAAACTTAAAATGCAACTATTTTTAATTCTCTAAAATCACTTATTGCAATTAGAACCTATAGTTACGACCTTATTTATTCATTTTTAAAAATCAGTATCAAGGACATTCCAAATTAATTGTGATAGTCTAAGATTTGTCAATATTTACAAGTTCAACTCCAAAAGTTAAATGTTGATTCACTGCTAGAAAAGATGACCAAAATTCTATATAAAGAGATCTTATCCTGACCAAACAAAATGTCGGCTATGGCTGTTTCAGTGATTATATTTGACTTTAAAGGGCAGGGTTTAAATTATAGAAATATTTTCATGGGCTTTAATATAATTATCCAAAATAATATGGATGGAAGTATAATGTTGCTTATGAAAGCAGTAAAATGCACTTAGCAGCCGCCCTCTATGCCACTTTATTCCAGTTTAGCTTATTATATCAAATTAAATTCCAATTAAAAGCAAAGGTTCCAAATTTAATTTAATTTCCTATTCAAGCCAAAGAAAGCGAGGCTTATAACAATAAACAAGTAACACTTGTTTATCCCCCTCAAACCTGATTTGTGACCAGTCTCATGTTTCTGCCCACTCCCTCCTGATGGTATCATTCAGAATAGAAAATTATCATATGTTGGGTAATACACCTTTTTCCTCCTGAGCTCCACCCAAGCATTAACACTGTCTAGTATTTCTGCCTTCCCTAGAAGAGGATATATTTTTCAAGGACAATTTCTATGACACATACAGTGTCCCTGTATAGGTTATAGACTATACGGACATATTTTATTGACTGCATTCTGGAAAACATTAGAATTAAACATGAATAGAACTATCTATTGTTCAGAATCCAGAATCAATGAAAATTTTATAGGCATTTGCCTTTCTAACCTGTGATTGTGAAGTTGGATTTGTTTACTACAAAATTTAGCCACATAGAAAGAAATCTGTACTTATTTTCTAGGAAGGATAGGATAAGAAGCCAGAATCAATGGTAAAAGCTATATCTTAAAAAAAAAAAGGCACAGGGCATTAAAAGAATCCCAGCATATACTTTTAGTTCATAATAATGTTGTCCTTTTCCCCCATTAGAAATCCCTTAGAAATCCCTGTTTGCCAAAGAATAACTTTAGAGAGATATAGAGAGTAGGAGCTATTCTAGTGCATGTCAACACAGTGATTTTTCCTTCCTTCAGGAAGAAAAAGCAAACTATCTGTTGGGCACCTTCTGTCGGGAGGCTGGTGGGGAGCTGGGAAGTCACTGTTCTTCTGGTTGTGGTTAAGACCCTGAACTGGGTGGTTGTTGCTCGTATGGTTGTGGTGGTTGGAGAAGAAGTTTCCGCTGGTTCTGTATTCTGACACATCTTCTCCTTTGACTAGTAAGAGAAATGAAAAGGAAAACAAATTGAGTAATCACATGTCTATTTTAAGATCTTATATCAAAGAAGCTGGGCTGTAAAGCACAAAAGCTTCTCACATCAAGACAAAGAATAAATTACTTTTGCACAAAATTATATGATTTTCCTAACTTATGAAGTTTACAAAATAGGAAAGAGAAAAAGATGGATGTAACAAGGCATTTCCATTTTTACATATTTAGGTTTCATCACTTACTGCTGTTAAACTTTCATATTACTATTTATCTTGCCCTAAATTTTACATTGGTATATTTATAAAGGATGCACTGTCAAAAGGGAAAATTTATACTAGAAGAAAAACAAGTGCATAAAGATAAGGTTTAAAACATACTCAAGTTTGTGAAGAAAATGTACATTCCTTTCACATCAAACCAAAAATGCTAAATCCAAAATATTTGCTAACTTCCCCATACTACTTCATTGCTTCAAAAGTCATCTGTCACAAGTTGACTGACTGCCTAAAATTTTGTTTTCCTTTATGAAATATTCAAAATCACATAAGAAAAGGATTGAACAGAACTCCTGTAACCACTCAGTCTATCTTCTTTCTAATAGAGCTATATTGAAAACATCAGGAAAAGGGACATACTGCCCTTGAAATTCCTAATTTGTGAAAAGAAATCCTACAACCTTCACTGGTAACAACCTCCAACATCCAAACTTTCATAGCTTAGAAGTTGGTGTTTCTACCCATCTTCTGTGCCTCAATGGACTCCCCCTCACTGGTGGGCCTTGAATAGAAAATAATTATACTGCACATGAGTGGTTCTCATCCCACATTTAAAAATTATTGTTAAATAAATATCTTTCTTAAACTGCTCTCATCAGTGGAGTGCTAGGTACCTCTCCTCTTGTTAATGAAGATTCCTGAGACAGCCTCCTTTCATCAATAGGATATTTAACAGGTTTACTCTCCACTTCAAGTCCAAACATATCAGGGTCTCACTTAATTCCCCAAATTCCAGTTCCTGCACCCTCTGAGCCCCATTAATCGAATGAGTCCCTTTCAGATACCACTTTAGTTGCCATCCCCACACCCTGGACTCTATCTGTACTGGAAAATGTTTTAGATCTGAAATCGTAAGCTCCATGATCCTTTTTCAATCTATCCCTGCGCCTGTGAACTCCCATTCTTCTTATACTTTGGCTACGTAGAAAGCTTAGCAAATGATTTTCTTTTTTTCAGTTTCTTTCTTCCCCCACCATTTCAAACTCTCATTTCAATAGCTGCAAGTGTCTTGCTCTCTCTTCTGTTTAGCTTGTTTTTTTCTACAACATCTTTAAAGAACATCCCCAATATGGTAAAAGATCTGCCTTTTCTCTGCCTGCTCCAGGGCCAGGCACAGCTGGAGAATAACCACACAGAGCCGCCACGGGGGTTCCACAAACTCATCTCCTGCTTCCTCAGCCAGGCTGTCTACACCACTTGGCAGCACTGCTGTGTCTTGCTAATCACCTCTCCCATTATGCTCAGTATGAATTTCAAACTCTCTCCACTTTACTGAACACTGCAATCCCATCATGATTCTCCCAGTTTTACGCCTTTCATTTCCTTGATAAAGAGACATGATCAGCAAGATTTCTTTAAATTTCTTTGTGAATCGGCATACTTACTTGACTCTAGGCTGACCTATTCTTTCCTTCGTAATAATGGATGGGGACCTTTCCTTACGGCCATTCTTTCAACCTATGTCCTAGCCCAACTCAGCCCACCTTCACAGGTATTGTGAATTTGCTCATGTGATCATAGTCCTTTCTCTACAATAATTCTCTGCTGGCTTCTTACCAACAGCACTTAAAGGTACACAAGCGTGCCTAATCTTACTTTGCAAACTCAGTCCTTTCTCTTCTCTCACTGCATCCTGACATTATAGTGCTTTCCCTCCATTCCTTCACAGTCGTATTCAAGAGAGGTCAGTCCGCCTTGGTCTTCTCAGACTCCCAGCTTCCCCATTTATGAAAATCTTGCTCTTTTCTAATCCAACTGAGTTGAAATTTCTCATAACAATGTTTCTAAATGTCTAAGCAGCTTCTACATCTTCCATGATGTCCTACTAATACCTCCTCAGTCTATGGTGCGGATGTGCACTCTCTTCTTGGTCTCCTCAATGTTCTGATTACCTCCCTCACAACGCCATCTCAATTTCTTTTTTACGTCAATGCCTTAAGTGTTGGGGTGGTTCTAATGGATCATTTTTGATTTGTTACTTTATTCTATGCATTATCTTTTGCAATGTCCTCCACACCCATGACTGCAATGAACATCTTTATGTTGATTATTCATAAATCTGTATTTCCAGTCCACATTTCTCTATTGTATTTCAGGCCCCAGAAGTCATCTGTTGACCAGGTATATGTATGTGAATGTCACAGACATCTCAAACTCAAGGAGCCTGGATTGGAACTTGCCATATATTATTCTCTCCTTGTGTTTCTATTGTCAATGAACAGGACCTAATATTCAGTAAACAGGATCTAATGTTCAGTAAACATCCAAACATTTAAGGTGAACTCCTGACTCAGATTTCTTTTGGAAGTAAAGGCAGACTAAGAAACTAAATAGCACTCCTGTTACAAAACAAACAGATTCTAAATAAAACTTGAATTTTAAAGCATTAGAATTTGCAGGAAGCAAAGAATATCCCCAATGGTGCCTTTCCATTGTCTATTCCATTCCCCGCTTAAAAAATAAAACAAAGCAAAAGCTATGTGCTATAAAGACAGTAGGAGCTGTATACATTTAGGGAAGTAAAAAAGCAGACTTTGCCCTGAGGTAGCCAAAATCAATATTGCTCTGAAGAGAACAAGCCTTGTAGCAGCAGTAGACTGGGGAGATAAATCTGAACTTCTCTTCCTCACATAAAGACAGAGACTTAGGATAAATCCTGAGGATCCCATCATCAAATCCTCTTTGGTGGAAAGCACTACCTATTTAGATGTTAGAAAAGGAACAGACAAATACACACTAAGAAAGAAATAAAAATAGCTGTCTGACAAAGACTCAGCAAAAACAATGAACAAACTATTTAGATCACCAAAACCTTAGATAATGGGATCATCCAACTATGGAATATATAAAAATCATACATGGAATATTTAAAACCATAAAAGATAAAATTTAGAAATGAACTGTTCACAGGAAACTATAAAATACTTGGCAAATTTAATAAGTTTCAAATTTAAATTTTAGAAATGAAAAATTGGTTGGAATTTCTACTTCATTGAATAGATTATATAAAAAATCAAACAAGATGAAGAAATAATTAATAAACTGGTAAGTATATCTGAAGAGATTGCCCAAAATACAGCACAGAGAAATAAGGAAACAGATTACATAAAATAGAGGTTTAAAAATAAGAGAAGATGAAAATGTCAAGCCCTCAAAGAACTAAGAAGGTAAAAATAAAGAGAGTGGAGAAGTATAGCTGAACAGCACATTTATCAAGTTTGACACCCAACCAACAAGAAAACACACATTTTTCTTGAACACACATAGACCATTTGTACAAATTTCCCATGTACTAGTTCATAAAAAATTTCCAATCAACTTTAAAGATCATAACATGTTCTCAGATGATAATTAGTTTAGAAATCAATAAAGTCTCCATAATTAGGAAATGTGATATAATTCAGGATTCCATGTATTTCCAATAAAAATGTTAATAAGGTGCATTTATTGACGGATTACAGATCTTGACAAGGTGAGTCTAAAATTTGTATGAAGGACAAAAGTCCCAAAATAGCCAGAACACTTGTGAGGAATAAAAAGTAAGGAGATTTGTCTTGCAGATAGTAAGATTTCTTATAAAACAATAGTAATTAACAAAATAGGACACTGATCTAGGTACTGAGGAAGCTTCAGAAGGGGAGGGGCCAGAAAATAGACATAAAAGAGGTGGTTTTGCAAGATATTGCCCATAGGAAGGCTTATTTAATAAATGGTGCTTGAAATTTGGCTATCTGTCAAGAACCCCGCCGCCCCCGACAACAAAACTAAATCTCTATCTTATATAATACATAAAAATCAATTCCAAATGGAATACATTTTGATGTGTAAGGCAAAGCTTTAAAACATTCAGAGGCCGGGCGCGGTGGCTCAAGCCTGTAATCCCAGCATTTTGGGAGGCCGAGGCGGGTGGATCACGAGGTCAAGAGATCGAGACCATCCTGGTCAACATGGTGAAACCCCGTCTCTAATAAAAATACAAAAAATGAGCTGGGCATGGTGGTGCGTGTCTGTAATCCCAGCTACTCAGGAGGCAGAGGCAGGAGAATTGCCTGAACCCAGGAGGCGGAGGTTGCGGTGAGCCGAGATCGCGCCATTGCACTCCAGCCTGGGTAACAAGAGCGAAACTCCGTCTCAAAAAAAAAAAAAAAAAAGAAAAAAATTCAGAAAAAAAAATATAAACCTAACACCTAGAAGATATTTGGTAGAAAAATTCTTTTAAACAAGATCCATGGACATATAAAACTCATTATAAAAATAAAAGATTGATACATTTGACAAACTAAATTGATAATTAATGTTAGTCAAATAAAATCATAGAGAAAATTAAAAGAGAAACAAAATTTGGGAGAAAACATACAGACTCCCAGTTACATATATACGAATACATATACAAATTATATTCTCAATCTTTATGCATATACAGATATTCATTTTCAACATTGTATATGGTGAAAACTGATTATAGGAAAGAAATGACTGTCTCAAAATACAACTATGGCTTTGTCAACAGATGTTCTTTTGAACTACGTTATTAGATAATTGAAGTGAGATGGATGAGTACACACTGCTGTCATTTCCTGAATGAATGTCAAAAGGTTGATTAAAGCTGCACTGGCCATACTGCATTTAAAGTGTAATAATGTTCTTAAGAAAATGTATTTCTCAAGATCTTTATAAGACATGCTCCCCCAAAAATGAATTTTAGAGCCTTTGTAACCACTGATCTAATAGTTTTTAAAACAGCATTTTGGCATGACTTGCTTTGCTAAATAAAAAATTTTTGTAACTGTTAACAGTTTTAATTCAAAATTCTTACCCTAAAACTTAAGGAAGTGAGAAGAAATACATACTCTTCTTCATAAACTTTATAGAATATCTTTACATGATCCTGAAATTATAGTATAAATGCCATTCACGGAAAGCTTTTAAATGGGTTAAAATTGTTTCTGCAATGGTTGGTCAAATGACTTCACTGCATACTTACCTCTATCATGTTTCCCTCAGAGCTGATATTATACCATTTGTCTACGCCAACTAACGTTACTCAATTTCTCATTTATTATAGCACGCCAATTTGCTGCAGTCTTCCACCCCATACAATACTACTGGCCTTGCTGTTTGAACTACAAAGAGGAATAATGGCTTGGTACATCTTAGATAAATAGCAAGCGTTTAAGAGAACTCGTCTTTGCTCATACAGAATCCAATCCTGCCTCTACTCCTAGCCACTAACCTGACTCTCCGAGAATCCACACTCCACCCTTCCCCACAAGCTCCCCTCACTCCTTCCTTTTCTTTCCTTGGTAATGTGAGGGTAGTGACAGTGCAGGCACTGTTCTTCATAGAACGAATATGAGAACATATTGAGATAATACATATGAATAGTTAAGCCCAATGCCTGCATATATTTGAGGCTGTAGCAAGCTGCTACAATGCTAATGAAAATGGTATCTAATTTAACAAAAATAACCAGCAGTTACTGAACCCCTAATAAGTACAGACATTGGGCTTATAGAAGGATTCTTCTCTTTCATTAAGTTTTAGGGCATGCATATTGAATAAAAAATTGTTATCAGTTACAAACACTGGTCCCAGGCTTCTGTCACAATAAAGCATGTGTACCTCTTCAGGGCATCCACTGTCCACCCAGTCCTGCCGATGACGATCAAATCCACTGGAACATCTTCAAAGAAGACCACATTGCAGTTCAGAAAAGAAAGGATGGGGTGCAGGGTGGAGGACAGAAATGAAAAGAAAAAGATTAGTAAGTAGTTCATTCTCACATTTTCAGTTTAGCACCGACATTAACTCTTTCATATAACTGGCAACTGGAGAAGCAGTGAAATATTTAGAGGGTTATTAAGTAATCACTCCTTCCCTGGTGTGTCACTATTAGGATCACACATGGCAACAAAATCACAATTAAGGCAAAATACACTGTACAGAGTACCTAGATCCCTGCACAAAGGTAAGACCAACTGCTATTCTATGAAGTGGATTTTCTTTTACCCTGTATTTTTTTTCTCATCATTAAAACAAATAAATACAGGCTTTTTTTTTTTTTTTTTTACAAATATAGTATTTCATGATTTCAGGTTCATGCATTCATTCATTTCACTCATTCATTCAAGACCCACCATCACACAAACTCTTCCTCTATTGTGCAGTAAAATGTCAACTTAGCAGCTGTGTGGTTTTCAAACCCTGCATGTTCCAAAAAAAAGACTGGCCTTTGACCTTCTCTTGAGGGGTAACCTCTCAACTCCTGGACTATCCTGCCTATTAAGAGTGTCTATCCTTGGGTCTTGTGCTATGCAGATAGTTTATGCTGACAATTTGATTTATTGTGAATGTCCAACTTTATTTACCTAGGACCCTGGGCCATTCTGAAATAGTTTGACTCTTGGGAGAGCTGAAGACCGGAAAAGATTAGTCACAGGGGCATTCTATCCCAATGGATGAACCCTTAATAAAAACCCTGGAGACCAAGCTTGTGTGAGCTTCTTTGGTTTAGCAATACTTGTTGTCTGCTATCATATATTGTCATTGGAGGAATTAAGTGCTATCTGTATAATTTCACTGGGAGAAGACAACTGGCTACTTGTACTGGTCTTTCCTGGATTCCACCCTATGTGCATTTCACCTTTGCTGATTTTAACTCATCTCTTTTTCCTGTGACAACCTGGAGTATACAGCTTTTCTGAGTTCTGTGAGTCTTTCTAGTGAATCATGGAACCCAAGTATCTTCTTGGGGACACCCAATTGCACTAGAAATACGTCATGTCTAAAAGATCTAATTTAGCAAGCATCATGTTACTCAGACTTTGTTCACTCACACTGTCTTCCTTAACTGGAATAATCTTCTGTCTTCCCTACCTGCGCTTACACAGCCCAATAATTCTCCAAGACCCAGAAATTACTATCCAGAGCACATTCTGATAAAGCATTGCTACCATAGTCATTCCTTTTAGATTTCAGTTATCCATGGTTAACTGTGGTCTGAAAATAAGTGAGTACGGTACAATAAGATATTTTGAGAGAGAAGGAGTTATATTCATATGACTTTTATTACACTATATTGTTATAATTGTTGTACTTCATTACTAGTTTTTAATTTCCACAGTGTCTAATTTGTAAGTTAAACTTTATCACTGGTATGTAGATACAGGAGAAAACAGTATATATAGAGTTTGGTATTATCCATTAAAAGTCTTGGAGAATGGGAGCTACTGTATTGCTGTGATCACATCTTACTTTAATATTATTTCCTCCTTTATGAAAAAATCTCATGTACTTATGTCTTAATTACCAAACTTAATTGAGAATATTTGAAACCTAGGGTCTTATACTGATCATATTATCCAGTATATCTGACACAGAATATCTTTTTCATGTGAAAAATTCAAACTATTTTTGTCAGTCCATTGACATTTAAGACATACATTGACCCTCAATGTTAATATATAAACAAGTATGATACACTTAGGCTGTGTCCCCACCCAAATCTCATCTTGAATTGTAGCTCCCATAACTTCCCCGTGTTGTGGGAGGGATTCGGTGGGAGATAATTGAATCATGGGGGCAGTTTCCCCTGTACTGTTCTCATGGTAGGGAATAAGTCTCACAAGATCTGATGATTTTGTACAGGGTTTTCCCTTTTGCTTCGCTCTCATTCTCTTTTGTCTGTGCCATGTAAGACGTGCCTTTTGCCTTCCACCATGATTGTGAGGCCTCCCCAACCATGGGGAACGATAAGTCCATTAAATGTCTTTTTCTTTATAAAGTTCCCAGTCTGGGATATGTCATTATCAGCAGTGTGAAATGGACTAATACAATATGTCTAAATGTAATATATAAAAATCCATTTAATTAAGTTACTCTAGATACCTATATAGTTTTCAAAATAAATAAAAACTGTTCAAGTGTTGCCTTATATTTTCTTACAATATTACAAATTTCTCACAGTGTTACTTTGTAACCTTTTAAAAAATTTTTAGCTTGTTTTGCAATGAGTCCACATGATAGCTCTTTCTAAGAATGCTTGCCAGAGATTATGCATCATGGGATGAACAAGCATAATTTAATTCAAGTGGAATGTGAAAACAACCCTCCTGTCAACAAAACGGACCATATCTCTCATTCTTTCAGGACGTGATCCATTGAAGTTAAGCTATTTTATGCCTACCATCTGTACTGAACAAGCTTAAGTGTGGAGTCAACATCAGTGTGGGATCTGACATCCCGAATTTGAGAATCCCCAGTTGGCCAAGGCCATCTCTGGTTACCCAGTGAGGTTCTGACAAGTTGTGTCTATTTAATTCCAGATGAGTTAGATGAATGCTCCTTCCTATATTTTCCTTTCGAGTTTGTTCAAACATTGAAGAATGTATCAACATTCTGTTTTGGAAGATGGGGAGGTATCAATTTTCTACCAAAAAAAAAAAATATTTTCTTGGGAGCCACCTGATTTCTGTTCCATTGAATCATAACTGTAATTCAATGGAACAGAACTTGCTTTAAACATGATTTGTATTCACTTATTCTGTCTCAGAGATATCCAAGGTCAATGGGATGTACTAACTTTTACCTTATATTTTAATGAGACAGTGCCAAATCTTAACTTTGCATATCAACTGAAATTTTACCTTGGAATTAGTCCTTTACATTGTTAAATTAATCCCCAGGAAAAGCACAGAAATGCAGTTTGCTTGATTTATTAAATAATCACCAAATCATGTTGTGTGAAATTAGGTTCTACTGAAAATATGAATCAATTAAGTAATTCATCATTGATTTATTGACAATCAATTTCTTAATAATTGAAATTTACTAAGGGCTAGAGTGGAAAAAACTGAGAATGGCAAAACAAGTAAGATTTGGTTTGAAAATGTCATACTCATATGTAGCATATAAGGCCTCAGAAATAAATAAAACTGGATCCTGCCATTTTAGCATTTGTTAATGCCCAGTAATCTAAATAGCATCCAAAAGCAATTATAAGCACAAGAATGTGTGTATGAGACAGACTTGTATAAATCACTAAAAAAGTCACCTTTATATTATTTCTGCATTCTAAATAAACCAAAAATCACTTTTGAGAATACTTTCCTGTCTCTGATGAGCTGCTCTGTGTGTATGTGTGCGCGCTTTGTGTGTATGTGTCTGTATTTACAGCACAATCACATTAACCTAACCGTATCACTCTCCAGCACATTGTTTTCCAGTATTTTTAACTGTTATTCACAAAAAGGATCTCCCACATTGCAATCACCTGGGATTCCTGTCCAAATGAAAATTCATGGGTCTAAGTGAATAAGATTCTCTGACAATTGGGACCCAGCCATTTTTATTGTAAACAAACACCTTCAGGGCATTTGTACCACACTGACTTCCTGTACAATATGTTCAGGCCTCTTGCTCACTCCTGTAGCCCATGCTCTACCACCCATTTGTACCCTCCTTTTGCTCTGAGAACAGCAAATTGTTTTCCCTTCCATGAAGGTTCTATGCTTTTTCATGACTCTGCCTTTGAAGATGCTATTACATATGGCTGGCCTACCCAATCGGCAAACCCAAACCAACTCAACCCCAATCTCCTCCAAGAAACAGCTCCTTCTCCTTCCACCCAGCAGAGTCAACAACCCTTGCTCAGAGATCCCCCAATACCAAGTACAAACGCCCACTATTATACTACAATTAGTTGCTTTTGAGTTTATCTTACAAAGCTTTCAAGTTAGTATTTTGGCTTGGGCACAAAATAGGTGTGTGATCTTAAGTTATTTTTCTTTTTGCTTTTTTTTGAGTGATTTATTGCATGTTGACAAATTATTACTGTATATATTTACGGGGTAATATCACATAATATGTGATATGATACATGTATGCAATGAGAAATGATTAAATCAAGCTAATTAATATAGTCATTATCTCAGATACTGATCTTTTTGTGATGAGAACATTTGAAATTTACCCACTAAGCAATTTTGAAACATATACTAGACTACATATATAATACACTATAGTCATAGCATACAGTATGTGATATATATGTACAGTGAAAATATACAAATATGCAAAAGATACAATATGCTATACTGTTTTGTGCAATAGATCTTAAAAAATTTATTCCTCCTGTCTAACAAACATTTTGCTCTCAAGTTATTTTTCCTTTCTAACCTATTTCCTCATCTGTAAAATGAGGTGGAGGAGGTTACATAAGGATTAAAAGTTCAGTATTTGTCTAGTAAAGATTAAGTAAATGTTAGATGGTTTAATATCTAATTATACCTTTATACCTAATAATACCTTTGGTATATGGTATGCATGTACCAAATTTGACTATCATACAAAAATGAATAAATGAGGTTTTCACTTCATAGACAGGATTTAGAAAATGTCTAGGAATTAACTCTATGTACCATATTAATGTAAGATGTGTTTTATAATATAAAGTCCCTTATCATCACATTCAGGAATTAGTATCATAGAATATTATGAGAGAAAATACTAAGTTGATCTCACATATGGGCCAAATCTTTATTCAAAATCGACAGAAATTATATGGTTTTGTACATATTTCTCACATAATTGATTTCACTGAGATATGAACTCTTAACTAAAGTTTTTCATATTTTTATGTCCAAGTTACTCTCTTCTCATAATTATCTAATTCCAAAACAAATT